ATCTCCTCCCGAATGACGACAATCAGAACAGCAATACAAGTTGGAACTCAAAAGATAATGTAATAGAGGTTTTAATATCACAGTGTTACTACATCATCGAAACAAGCGTGCCCCACATAGTGGATCCACACTTCTAGACCTTCTACCTCAACTGCTCAGTCTGATCGGAAGCGTACGCTTCCCAGTCCATTTATACTATTGCATTGCTCTCTCCCTACTACCTAAAAAGGAGAGATTAGTAGGTATACACAACAACCGGTATTAGGATCGGCCAGGCGGTCAGAAGAAATATTCTTCCAATATTTGAAAAAAGTAGAGCCCCAGTTACAAAGTCCCGTGGCACACGCAAGTAGGGTTCCACATTTGAAGGCGTGCTCCAACTCTATCTTCAGATCACCACTGCTCGGCGCTATGGCAGAGCTTATTCTAGTCAGAATTCTCAGACAGCTCCTCTTCGTCCAAACTAGTTCCCCTGCACGTCCCCTCCCTCATCCCGATCTGTGCCGTTCCCATCTTCCTCGTCTTCGGGGCAGGATTCTTCCTCAGCATCCGGTCCATCTTCTCCGTTCAGCACCCGCGTGAATTCTCCCGTGTCTTGCTTAGCTAGCTCCCAAGCGCACTTATCCTTCCTCACCCACTTAATGTCTCTCTTAACGCATAAACTCTTCACCTTCTTTCCAGTCATTTCCATGTAGTGGTCCAATCTTTGGCGCATATACTCCATCACCCCGTTCTCCTTCCCATTTTTTGTGTTGCCCGGTCTATTTATCTTCAGCTTATCCGTCTCGTCTTCAGAATCTTCATCTTCTTCGGGTGCTTTCATATTGACATCGGCCGGGGTTTTCCCATTGGCGGGCAGTTGATCCAATACAAGTCACGTAGCTTCGCTTCATCAGCGAACAGAAGAACACGTGGCAGCAGCCACGTCAGCCAGTGATACACGTGGCAGCAGCCACATCAGCGACAGCGCATGGCAGCTGCCATGTCAGCATGCCAAGAAGACAGGTGCAAGCCAGCCACCATGTCGGACCCGCAGCGCCTAAGTCAGCATCAACGCAAGACAGAATGAATTTCAAAGCCAGGGAGGTCAACGCTTAAGTAGCGTTGACTCAGGGTCTGGACCTCGGACGCTGCAACCTTTAGCCGTCCAGATCTTGATGCAAACGAAGGCCCATATTGGCCTGAAACTGAATTCCCTTAGGCCTGGATGCTTGTCTGGGTATCTGCACACAACAAGTGAGTGTATCCAACCAAGGGCCTGGGCGCGGTACCTTTGACTCTACAGTTGACTTTGACCCTTGACTTTCCTGGGTGCAGCGTTTGGTCACACAGCCAAACGCGATAGACTCAGGCCTGGGCGTGTCCTGGTCACACAGCCCAGCGCAGACCAACTTCGGTCCGCGTTGCCTGGGGCTGAGTTCTGGGCCCCAGACTACTTCTGAACAGGGTTACTCCATCTGTGTGATTTCGCAACTTGGTTTTCTGTATATCGTTCACACTCATATTCCTTGCATTTTCTTTTCCGACAAAAAAAAAAGAGCACCATTCCCAGCTGGCCTCTTTTCTGATTAAAAAAAAAAAAACCAGAAAAAAAGAAAGTTGGACCATTCCCAGGCGGCTTTTTTTCCCTAATGACGACGATTCCCACTTGTCTCATCTTCCAACCAAAAGGAAAAGGAAAAATTGGAGCAGTTTTGTAACTTTTGTTATTGTTATTTTCCAATAATTGTCGTTTTTCAAAAACCTCTATTTTTTGAATGAAATTAGCCTTGGGCACTGGCTCCCTGTAATGGAAGAAGAGAATTGATTTAAAAAAAAAACAAAAAGAACTTGTTTCGGTCTTTTTCCGCTTCTTTCAATTGTTGAGTGGTCTCTCTCTCTCTCTCTCTGTGTGTGTGTGTGTGTGTGTGTGTGTGTGTGTGTGTGTGTGTGTGTGTGTTAGATTTTCCCCACAACAGCCCCAATTCCACCCAGGTGAATAGATTCAGAATCAAAGCAGTCTTTGTCATATTGCAGACAACGAGAGCATTTGAGATATCCAACATATTAAAGCAATTTTATAATTAGACAGTTTTTTGGCTGTCCTTGGGGCACCCCTTTCATTGCTCTTGCAGCTCCCCTTTTACTGTCCCTCTTACGCACAAGGCTGCGTGTGTGTGTGTGTGTGTGTGTGTGTGTGTGTGTGTGCTTTCTTTCGTTTTTTCTTCCGTTTTTTCTTCATCCTTTTCCTTTCATTACTGTAGTGGAATTTTCAATGGTAAACGGGCCCAATGCCCAAGGCTATACCAGGGGAACCCTCATCCTTGAGATGAGAGAGACGCCCACAACACAAAAAACAAAAGGCGCTCGATGAGGTGTTTGCGGGATGTTTAAACTAAAAAGGTCCCGAATTTAGACAGGGCCACAGTCTACCTCGGTGGCTAACTTGTGAGTCAATTGGTAACTCAAGATCTGCATCTGGGTTCAAACCCCTGCTCCAAGCATCGGCCAGTCAGTATCTCAAGATATGCACCTGGGTGCAAAGCCCGCTCCAACAATGTGTGTGTGTGTTGTCATATGCACTATACTGTGTCTGTCTGTGCATGTGCCCGGTGGAGTGCCTGCACCTTCCCTTTCTTTGCTGGCGATACCCTAGAAATGAAATGTGTGCCGCCACGCCTCACACTTTTGCCCTTCTATGCATGTGACTTGCTTTGAGAAACCCTGCAGATGAAATGTGTGGTTGTTACATGCCCAGTTGGGCGATGTACATAATACACCAAGGATCTGCAATGTGATAAAAAGGACCCAATGGACAATGCAGTGCAAGTGGAATCTCAACAAGCAATGTGCATTCTGATACATACAAAATGGCGCCTGGTGGTGCCGCGGAAGACTTAGATACAAGTCCTGACCTGACCGGGACTGACCTCTTTCACGTAGTACAAGACAGCGCAGCAGAATGCTAGAATACCAATGACGAGCCCAATCAATGTTGCAACGCAGACTAAACATACATCATCTTCATCACAAGGTGTGAAGGAGGCCTGGCGCCACACACAGGAAGAATGCGCCAGGTCCTGACAATGCACAGACGAACAGGAGGGGAACAGACGAAGGAGGGGAGTGATGGGAAAGTCGTCAACACCAAGTCTTCGTTACGAGTCCCAAATAATCGCTCGTCAAAATGTCTGAAGCCCAACATCGAGTCTGGACCCAAATGTCATCAAGCTCTCTCTCTCTCTCTCGTAGTCTGCTGATGCAGTGAAGTCAGATCGTGAGAGGGTGAGAGGGAGATGGTGGACTGAGAAGAGGAAGAAGAAGAACTCTCTCTCTCTCTCTCTCTCTCTCTCTCTCTCTCTCTCTCTCTCTCT